TTGCTTTGCTTTGCTTTGCTTTGCTTTGCTTTGCTTTGCTTTGCTTTGCTTCGCTTTGCTTTGCTTTGCTTCGCTTTGCTGGCTGAGGAATTCTGGGAGTTGAAGTCCACAAGTCTTAAAGTTGCCAAGGTTGGAGACCCCCTGCTCCAAAGCACAAGGGGGACGGACAAGAAGCAATGTGTAGAAGTTCATTGGAGGGAGATCCAGCCTGGAACTAAATCGATTTCCTGACAGTGAGAGCAATTAATCAATGGAACAGCTTGCTCTCATACACATATTTTTCAAATATCAACGTCTAGGTTATCTAACCATTGAAGCGTAGCATCGTTTATATTTCAAAAATCAGATGCTGGATTGGTGTATGCCCTAGGCTTACAGCTGGTTATGATGTGGTCTAAAGTTTGATGTGGGACCTCAACAGTCACACTGAAGGGGTGATATTATGCCCCGTTTATACAGACAGTCCAAGCAGGTGCCGTGTGAGGCACGAGTCCTATTCAGGATTGCCTGTTGATGACATGATAGTTCAAAGCCTGGCACTTTGGTGGGGGGGCATTTATATATCTTCCTATGTCTGGGTGTTCATTGATCCATTTGACTTTCCATTGGGAATTGATGTCCCAAAGGTGCTTTTTTTTTTCAAGGGGCAACTAGACTTTCTGGTTTTTCTCTGAGGACATGTCGCTTCTCATCCAAGAAGCTTCTTCAACTCTGACTGGATAGTGGGGAGCACGTTTGAGTCATACATAGAATATCAGAGAATAAACAGTCCCAAAAGTGCTTTTTTCAAGAGGTAGCTGGACATTCTGGTTTTTCTTTAAGGACATTTTGCTTCTCATCCAAGAAGCTTCTTCAGCTCTGACTGGATGGTAGGGAATGGAAGGATTTATATTCCTTGCAGACACTGGGTTTTTTTGGGGGGGGGGGATCTGTTCGTACTCCCACACCATGAATGGATTCCCCCCCACCCCCAAAATGGGAACCATTTGCACTACTCAGATGACCCTGAGGACACAGGTAAACCTCCAAGTGGCCTCAAAGACCCTCTAAAAGAATGCAAATTACCAACTGTCTGCCAGGAATATAAATCCTTCCATTCTCCACCAGAGCTGAAGAAGCTTCTTGGATGAGAAGCAAAATGTCTTCAAAGAAAAACCAGAAAGTCCAGTTGCCTCTTGGAAAAAAAGCACTGTGATGACCCAAAGGGGCGTGGCACAGAGGCAACACAGTCACATAAATAAGAAGTGTCCCTTTAATACATCCAACTTTGCCCCCAATGTCCAGTTACCTTCGGCTGGAGAAAAAACTCTCCTAAGAACAGTCTTTAAGTGGAGAAAATTCAGTCTGAAAACAAAGTACATATAAACTGTAAATAAAAATCCACACAAACCATGCTGCAGGAATTAACTTGGCAGGACAGGATAAGGAATTCCAGACTTGAAAGGCCAACAAAACATACACGGTTGGGAAGATGCCAGGAACCCAGGTAAGCCTCAACCATAACAGATAACTCACGATTTGCTTCCAACAAGTTGCTGTGCGCACCTTTCCTTTTTTAAACACTGTGTTCCCAGCTGTAGCTAATGAAGAGAATCAGGGCCTTTTCCTCCCCCGTAAGCCACACAACTCACATTGCTCCCTTCTCCGTTCTTCCCTGCATGCCCTAGGATGAAGAGGGGGTGTGCCTGGGTCCTTCTCTGAATTCCCTTTCCCTTGCTCTACTTCTCCCCTGTTCTGCCCAGCTGGACTTTGCCCTTCCCCAGTTTCTTCCACAGCTAACAGAGCCACACTCACACTCCCTGTCAGCTGCTCAGCCTCCCCCTCCGAATCAGATTCCGACAGGGGCATGACAAGCACCTTTGGGACAACTATGATGTGGATGACTGTAAATCTCCATAGAGATTGGGAATCGGTATTGTTGGGCATATACCAGGAGGAGCTTCCTGGTTATGAGTCTTCCCATTGATAAACAAGGAAGGTCGGCATGCACCGGTAAGAGTGAGTTATTCATCTTTTTGCATAATCTAACTAAATCATCAGAGAAATAAGAATTCCCTTTTCTCATCTTACAAAGGCAAGATGATAAAGCAGAATCCCTATTTTTCCGATGACTTAGTTTGGATATCTGGGAGGTTCTGAACTGAATTCAGTATGAATGGAGCCACTCATAGGGGTTTGTGAGTGTTTGGTGAGCCCGAGTCCTAGTCAAATCAAGGAGATTTTTTTTTTATTGCATTTGGACGTGGCTTGATTTGAGAACGTCATTCCTCCATGGTGGTTCTACCAGGTCTTTGATGAAACATGGCCCGAAACCTGCTCGTTGCTTTTCCAAATCACTTCCCTCAGCCTTGCTTTTCCTTACAGGCTTCTCGGTTGCTCAAGAGATAAACTAAGTGCTGAATAATCTTAGTGGATGGATGATTATCCAAAGCCCATCCTTCTTGGTGCTCTACGCATGCATCATGCTGAAGGAAACTGTTTTGTCGTGTGAATCTGGAGACAGAACAGGCCTGGAAGGTGGGGAGGAAAAATCATTTTTTAAAAAAAGCCAGGCTGACTGAAAGGAATTATACAGATTTATTGTGTGTCTAGCGCATTAAAACATTCATTGGTGGTCTTTTAACCTGGTGCATTTTAAGAGCTATTGCTCTTGGGTGACTAATGTTGGAATTAAGACCTGCTTTCGTCCTTCTACACTGTTTATATAGAGTTTATATTTTTATATATTATATAGAGTATATATTTATAAAGCAAAGAGCAGTTAGAATGCAGCATTGAATGCTAATTCTGCTGCCTGCCGACTGCTGTTCGGCAGTTCGATTCTCACTGGCGTGAGATTGATTCAGCCTTCCATCCTTCTGAGGTGGGTAAGATGAGGACCCAGATTGTTGAGGTCAATAGGCTGACTCTGTAAACCACTTAGAGAGGTCTGGAAAGCACTGTGAAGAGGTATATAAGTCTAAGTGCTGTTGCTATTTCTAAATCACAGTAGTATAAAGTTGTCAGATGCCTCGCCCACTTGGAAGTGAATTGAATTGGACAAGTGTGATTAGACAAACAAGGGATTTCTCTCTGGTGCAGAAGCTCTCAATGTAACAGAGTAAGAATAGTCATAATATGATACAAATAAGAGGGGGTAGTAAAAAATAGAATAGAATAGAATAGAATAGAATAGAATAGAATAGAATAGAA